ACATCATTAATTTTAAATTTTTATCTCACATTTTTATCTTCCCAGTTATTACTCTTGCCAGTTGTCACTTTCGATTAGAGGAGGATAGAACATCAAGCTTAAGGATTATTTTGGTGCATTTTAAAGTTTAATGATGCTTTTGGTAAAAATCTGATAGTTCAATGACTGCATTAATATTTTAACCAAAAAAAAACTCTCATGCTAAATCCTCTAATTGGAGCATTTGTTGAACCATCTGTAATAAATTCGTCAGCGATCACACAATGTAAGGCTACAACACAACGCGAGGCTGTGACCGGTGAGCTAGGGATCTCATTCAGGTCTCTGCTGCACAGCATTGCTGATGTGACCACCATTGTACATTCTGTGTTACGCAGGCAGGGAAGTAGATATGACACCCTCTTGTGAAAACGACAGTTCAGAACTGCACTAATACAGTTTCTTTTTTAGAGTATCATATTTTTTAATTTGATTTATTTTAAATTATAAAATAAAAAATTTTAATTGGAGAGATAATTTTTAATATTAAAAAATTATTTTATTGTATAATTTAAATTATATAATTTAATAGTATAATTTGTATTATAATTAATTTTTTGTGATACCCAAAATTTTTTAAAATAAATAAGTGAGTTAGGGATTTGTTTGAGAAAGAAATATTGTTTTGGGCTTAATAGCCAACATTCCAAAACTTGAGGGACTTAAAGAGGGAAAGATTTTGGATAAGGATGACTTCTTTTCTTCTCCTTTTTTTCTTCTTTTCTTCCCCAGCCATTTCCCGATTCTGCTCTTCTCCTTCCCGCTGCAGCCACCTGAAAGAAAAAAAAGAGGGAACCCGGCACCAGCCTTTGAGAAACCGATAGAGAGCTTGATTTTTATCCTTCTTTTCTTGTCCAAAAACCAGATTTGAACCCAGAAATCTCCCCCCCTGCAGGAAGCTTCCGGATCTGCTCTGTTCTTCCTTCCCTGTACGCCGGTTGCTCTTGCTTGTGGGTGTGATTTTCGGTCTTTTTGGTAAGAAATAGCTCGAATTCTCCCTTCTTTAGCTTCGATTTAAGTTGGGCTCCTTTAATTTTGGGTTAAACCGTGAGTCCCCTGCAGAATTTTCCTGCACTGCCGCCGGCTTCTCCCCCGTGCTAGGCCCGGTTCTGTAGCTGCTAAATTCTGGTATGGACAGCCTTTTAAGGCTTAAATTGTCCATTTATTTGCTGCTTTGTGTTGTCCGAATTTGACAGAAAAATTGGGGATAATTCCGGTAGCTTTAGGACCATGATTTAGCTTAATTGAAGTGGGATTTATGTGATTGAGTGTTAATTGATTGTTGTGATTTTTAGAGAGGAAATCCCGTGAATTAGTCAGTGTTTTGGCCAATTTTTGGAAGTGCAGTACTGTTCACGTCGGGGTTACTGTTCACGTCACTGTTCACCGGGTACTGTTCCCACCCCGAGGGCCAACATTTAACGGGAATTTAAATGATTAGTTTGTGATATGAGAACGAATTTGGAGGTATTTGATCATGTGGAGATTGATAGGAATAGCATCGGGATTAAGAGTGATCTTAATGATGATTTCAGTTTGAATTTGTGGTGATACGGTAATTAATTCGTGGATATTTTGATTAGGTTCTTGATTGTTCTGTCAGTTAGCATTGAGATTGAGTGCTCGGTTTTATGCGAGTGAGGTAAGTAAATTATAGTAACGCCCTTCGACTTTTAAAGCATGTTTTGATTTGTTTTTGAAGTGGTGGCGGGACTAAACCTGTTTTACACGAGTATGACTGATTTGAAGTGAAATGTTTATGTTTTTCATTAAATTGAGCATGCCTACTTGAAAGTTTAAGTGATTGTCCTGATGATCTGAAAGTGATTGTGAATTGTGATTTTCCTATTAACTTCTGTCTGTTTTGTCTCCAATATGGTCATGTTATTCGTGTGCCCGCTAGTGGGAGGTTTATAAACGCTAGCACATGTCGACATGTTCGTGATAGAACCGGTTCGCTCGTGGCCCTACTAGTGGGGATTATACACTAGTAATCGTGTGCCTGCCAGTGGGAGGTTTATAAACGCTGGCCGTGACCTATAGAGGAGACGTTTATTTCATGTCCGTACTCGTATCTGTTTTTCGTGATTGCACATGTTGGCATGCTATATGTTTAAATAAGGGCACTCCATATTTACTTACTGAGTTTATCTCATAGTTTTTCCTTGTCCACCATTTCAGGAAGTGAAACCGAGGACGGGAAAACTACGGGAAGTGACGAGTTAGAAGGCTAGCCATATTGTAATTGGATATAAATTTTAGATATGAATCATGATCTTGTATTTGTAGATTTTATGATATCAGAGAGAATTTTATAATTTGATCTTCAAATTTTTGGTGGTATCAGAGTGTGATATGATAAGTTTCGAGCCTTGTGCACTTGTGGGATCCGTCTCACGAGTGTACGGCGTCTGTCGCGCCTCGAATTTGGGTTTTGGGGCGTGACATTTTTTATTTTTCAACTGTTTTTTAATTTGTACATTTAAGGTAATGAAAAGAAAAAATAATTGGTAAATACTTACTGTATCATTTCTTTAATTGATAAATACATAAAAATTGACTTATTTTTAAGGTTGATTTGATAAATTTTAATTATAATTAAAAATGATTTACCAGATAAACCTATAATTAAAAATAAGTTAATAAAAAATAAATATATAAAATTGATAATTTAAATAAAATTAATTTT